AAATCTCATTTAAGTGCGTTTAGTTTTACAACTTGGGAAAAAATTCATAGTCAAATTTAATTAGCATGTTTTTATTTAAAAAGCAGCATTAACGGCAACCTTCCATAAATATGAAATGTTAATTGATCTATAAAAATTTTTAAAAAGAAGCGGCTGACGAAGGTTGGGTTCTGAGCGTTTGAGATTTTTTCCTGGGTCGGTCTTTAAAAAAGCGCTTCATAGTGGAGACCTTTGTCCGAAAAATCTCTGTGTGAAATTTTCAAAAGTTTGACAATTTGTTTTATCGAGAAAATACAAATAATGGAAAACATAAAATTAAACATATTTTCCTGATTTAAGCTACTTTTTGCTGAATTTTATCTTATCTTTTTGCACTTATATCAGCATATCATCGAGGTATATTTCACAACTGAAATAACTATTAATTATCAACTAAAGGAAGAAAATTCATATATTAACACTCTCCACACTTCAAATAAAACTGTTATTAATGATGTATAAATTTTCTTTTGTAAGTTGTGTACGTTGTTAACAATGTTAAGCCTATATCACAGTTGAAAGTCAACAGGTGTTTAAAAAATAACTTCACTGTTGTGACGTCAAATAACGCCGCTTTGACGTAGAACGGCATAGGTCCCCCTTAAAATAAATTTAGTTCTACAAAACCAATAAAGAATAAGCACACATTAAATTCCATGCAAAAAACATTAAATGACATTAACTTAACTTTGTGGTGTTTTTTAAAATGATTGTTATTTTCTCTTTTGAAATATTACATTGCTGTTCTATTTTGAATCCTAATTTCCGTGCAAACTGGACACGGCGATGGATTTTATTTTGGTGTGGCATGACATGGATCTATCATTTGATCACATGTCAGTAAATTTTCAGTCACCTTTCAGGTAACTCAATGGTATAGTTTCATCCTGTGTTATCTCATTTCAAACCTACAAACATTTCAAAATATACTAATCCTTTTCTTCTATTTCATATTCATATGAAGCAGAATTTGTGCAATATCTTATGCGTGAAAAGAAGAAAACACTTGTTGTGGCCTTCAACTCGACATTTAGATACATAAACGACGTATTGTCAATTAACAATGGTAATTTCCATTCCTACGTCGATACGATATATCCTGGTGAGCTTGAGATTAAAGATATCACAGAGTCTGACACATCTGTTTCATACTTGTATATTTTTCTTGAAAAAGACGTTAATGGTAATCTAACAACCAAGCTATATGATAAATGTGATAACTTTAACTTTTCTTTCGTCAACTTCCCTTACCTATGCAGCAATATACCTTCATCACCTGCATAGGGAGTATATATAGCTCAGTTAATTCGATATGCAAGAGCATGCTCTATGTATGAACAATTTCTAAAACGAGGTAAATTATTGACAAGCAAGTTGATAAAACAAGAATATCAGCAGGCTTGTTTAAAGTCATCATTTCGTAAGTTCCATAGTCGATACAATGACCTTGTCAGAGTCAAATGCTGACTGACGTTTTTCATACTAATTGTTAGTCCATTATTTATACAGCGAATGGTCGTGGGCTTTTTCCGTTATTTCCCGATCATGACAAGGAGCACACGACAGGTGTGACCGGTCAGCAGTGGCTGCTCACTCCTCCATGGCACCTGATCCCACCTCTGATGTTTCGGAGGTCCGTGTTTGCTCTGCTCCTATTTTGTATTGTTTTATGGAATTTGAGATTGAATACTGTTCGTTATCCCCATATCCTCCTTCTATAAAAAGGTATTAAAGTTATTTGTTCAATTCAAAAATGTGTCTATCATACAGTGTCCATTTACAATCTTACGAAATGGTTTTGTAAGTCATTTTGTACTTTTTCTGGCGACTGTTAAATAATTTATATTTTTGTAACTTCATCAAATCAAGAAAAACTAGTGCTAATTGTAACGGGGACCGTTACAGATGTTCCCCAAACGCTCCCCAACTTCCTTTTGGTGCCACATTCCCTGTAAGCTTCATTAAATAAGGCAAACTCTATGCATTTGAGGCTTTAACAACATTTACCCAGGAGAAAGTACCAAGTTCATTCAAATTTTAGAATTCCACGCGTGCGCATGTGATTGCGTGTGCGTAATGACCATATTATCTTGTCTATACAATCTTAATATTTTAATATACTAAATATTAAAGTAATTAATCCAAAAGTATTAAAGAAATACTCTCACTAAACTGTATTTTTGATTTTACTCATTTCACGTGGAAGCACTTGCATACATCAGCATGATGACCATACCTTCTTGTAGAAGTCCATTACATCTATCTATGTTCTAAATCCCACCCCGTTTGGTTGAAAACCAAGGGAGTTATAGCTGTGTAAAGTTTCAGTCAATCAGATTGCAGTGCACGTACACACACGTGTATGCATGTGCATGATGACCATACCATCTTATAGAAGTCTATTATATCTATCTATGTTCCAAATCTCATCCTGTTTGGTTGAAAACCAAGGGAGTTATAGCTATTTAAAGCATAAGCCAATCAGATTGCAGCGCATGTGCATGCACGCTTTTTCATGATAATTGCTATATATTTTATTGTAGGATATCCTAATACATGCCTATGTTTAAAATTTCAAAGGATTTCGTCAAAAAACAAGAAAGATATTGAGACTTTAGTTTCAGCCAATCAGAGCGAAGTGCACGTGCATGCGCGTGAGATCTTGCTTTTTTGACCATATCATCTTGTCTATGCTTCTAATATATACTCATAATATGAGTTTCAAAGCATTTCATCAATAATTTAAATAGTTACGTCTGTATCAATTATGTTGGACATTTCTCATGTTGCACGTGCGAGCTCTTGCAAGCACACGTGCATGCACATGCTTTCATGATAATTCTTATATTACAGGCTGTAGATCTCCCTAATGTATAACTATGTTCAAAATTTCAAATGATTTTATCAAAAAACAAGAAAGATATAGAGACTTTAGTTTCAGCCAATCAGAGCAAAGCGCACGTGCAAGCGCGTGCAATCTTGCTATTTTGACCATGTCATCTTGTGCATACTACTAATATATCCTTACATTACGAGTTTCAAAACATTTTGTTAAAAAATAGAAAAGTTACGGTTTTATCCATTATATATTGGTCATTTCAAGTTTTGCACGTGCGCGCAAAATGACCTTGATTCCGCAAATCTACATAACATGTCTACTGACCCTAAAAACATTTCACCTAAATCGGATGTGTAGTTTACAAGATCATTCGCGGACAAAATTTTCCCGAGAAGAAAAATAATAATAATAATAATAATAATAAGAAACAGAGTAAAAACAATATGTTCCCCAACTTCGTTTGGGGAACATAACAAATAACACATGGCGGGTGTGATCAGTCGACTGAGGGGTGATTGCTATTTATATATATTATACTTCCATGTAAATTAATTGAATCTGATTCGTCGAGAAACATGTGATAAAAAACACTACTACCCGCTGAATAATGAAGCCACGCCCTCCTGTGTAGCAACAGTCAACATTGCTTGACGACGGGTGGTAATCCAAAAAATAGCGTCTGCGCGGAATTTATGCGCGCACGGTTCAGAGTAACATGTTTTTGTATAAAACATTCAGTATAATATAATAAATATTGCATTTATCTCAGAAAAGTGTAACGCAAACAAATGGTAACTTGAAATTAATTTTATTAAAGTGTGGCGATATTATGGGCACGGCTGTTATTTAGTTTCAAATGCAAAACAAACAATATCATATGGGCAATGGGCAGCCAAGACAAGAGCATGCCCCAATCAAATGCACAAACAACATTCAACATCAAAGCAAATCATATATCAAGGTCATTACCAAAGGTCAAAGTTCATATAGTGGTAAGTCAAAGTTCATACAACATCAAAAGTTCAAAGATCACAACATCAAAGTTCAAAGTTCACCATATATATATATATAGAAAGCATTGACCCTGGGAGGTGCAGAGGTCAAAGCTTACAATATAATTACCAAAATGCCGCTTATACGCCAGAGGTGTTATTTACGATATATTTATTACGAATTACATGCCGCTTATGTGCCTTCTTTACTTGTCGTTTATATATCAGTCACTGTTTAGGAAACATTGGCCCTGGGAGGAGCAGTGGCCAAGGTTTGCGAAAAGTTCATCTAAGTTGGTCTCCAGGTAGACTTTTTCTTGTAACAGCCGTACCATTTGATATTAAGTGATCCTTTTGTAGGACAGCTGCAATAGAAAGAAAAACACAGCGCAAAAATCTATTCGAATAAGGGTTGGGTGAGGAGGGTATTTTTCTAAATATCTAAATTTGCAAAAAATTATCCTTTAAAATTGCACCAACCTCATTCATATAGTCTGTGAATGAAAAAGGATTAACGGAAGTTGACTCAGGGGGAATAACTCTAATTGATTATAGGGATTATAGGCGGATCTATGGATTTTGTAATATGGGAAATTAACACTTTCTTCGATAAAAGCCTCCAATTCGAATAGAATTGGATGTGATATTATCTCAGAAAAGTGTAACGCAAACAAATGGTAACTTGAAATTAATTTTATTAAAGTGTGGCGATATTATGGGCACGGCTGTTATTTAGTTTCAAATGCAAAACAAACAATATCATATGGGCAATGGGCAGCCAAGACAAGAGCATGCCCCAATCAAATGCACAAACAACATTCAACATCAAAGCAAATCATATATCAAGGTCATTACCAAAGGTCAAAGTTCATATAGTGGTAAGTCAAAGTTCATACAACATCAAAAGTTCAAAGTTCACAACATCAAAGTTCAAAGTTCACCATATATATATATAGAAAGCATTGACCCTGGGAGGTGCAGAGGTCAAAGCTTACAATATAATTACCAAAATGCCGCTTATACGCCACAAGTTCCCTGAGATGAGGATCAGAATGAAACTCATCCAGGGAACTCCGCCACCATGGTGGGGATAGAGCGGCATATACGAACAGCCGTACCCAGGACCCTTGCTAATTGGGAAAGCAGGATTGACCATGGGCAACGATAGCCTCAAGTCCCCCCTGGAGAGAGTTAAGAAAAATGTTATTCCCCAACGAGGATAAGTGTACCCCATCCTGTAAAAATAAAGCTGGATCAGGTTTAATGTCTGAATGGCGAATTATTGCGCCCCCAGATTGCAAGACAATTGCAGCTATACCAGAATTAACCCGTTTGCGTGCATTTTCCATAGCTTTTAAATTTGCTGAATAGCGCCATTGGAGACGCGGAAGTATAAATGACCATATAATCCTACTGTTTCGAAAGTGATTCCTTAGAAATAAAACCAACTGCTTTGCAACCACCCTTATTTTTCTGATCGATACATTGCCCAAGTCATTCCCCCCACAATGTATAAGGATGAAATTAGGTACAGGGCCCACCTTTCCAAGAGTTCTAATCTTTTGTTTAGTTTTACTTAACTGGAGGCCACTATAACCCTGCCACCACAGTGAGATGTGTTTTCTTTCTAATGTCAAATTTGTACCACCTGGTCTTAATACAGCTTCCAAAAAGGCGTGCTTGATTATTGATGAACCCACCAACCATATTGTCTGTATATCTAAAATTAGATTAAAACTTTGGTATGCGAATGTAGGATTTGTAAGAATCAGATTTCCAACGACCAGATCTCTGAATGTCATGAGTTGAAAATCCTTTTAACGCGAGATCAGTACTCGCGCCGATACGAAAAGAGTGAGATTTGTATCCTGAGATACCAGGCAAATTTAGGTGCTTTACTGCCTTACAAAGTACCCCCGTAAATTGATATCGTGTGAGTGGGGATAAATCGAAGTGTCGAAATAATGTACCTGAACCCTCTGGACGGATGCTGACGTATTTAGTAATGAGCTGATATGGACATGCTACACCACCCTGCTTATCTATTTGAAGTACTGTGCCTTTACCTAACTGGTCCGTTTTCGAATACCGGATAGTCAGTAAGAGAGATTGCGTTTCGTGATTAATGGACAAATTGTCGAATTGAATTGTGTTTTGTTGATCACCTTCTCTTGTATTAACTGTTAATTCGCCAACTCTTAAAAATCCATGAAATGCCAGGGAAAATGCAGCCGAGAAAAGAGCTGTTTCAAAAGCATTGGTACATATTATGGGCAGAACTTGAATAATATTTAGCAAAATTGTTTTCGTTATTGGCAGTCTAGTATCTACTTTATGTCTCAAACGTTTCATGCCCTGCAATAACTTTGTAACCAAGAACTCTGGGGTTGGATCGTGAACACTCTGCAATTTACAATAAAATGAAATGGCAGACAAGTATGACCTCACGGTACCATATGCGAGGCCGGATGATGATGAATGCAAAACGAATTGCACGACTGAGTTTAATGTAGGGGGCCATGGCGTGCAATCAATGAGTCTACATACTTTGTAATATGCTGCCATTCCAGCCCGATGAGATTTATGTGTGTTTTCAGATACTGAGGCGTCTAAAAGTTTAGCAAACTCAGACTGGAGATGATGTTGCGGAAAGATAGGGGCACTGGGCAAGGGTGTTCCCTGGCATGTGGAGCTGCTTGTCGGAATCTGGCCCACTGCTTACGAGAAATTGAATCAGCAACTACATTGTCTTTACTTGGTATGTAAACTGCACGAAACAGAATATTATAATTCATAGAAGCAAGGACAAATGGTCTAAGTAGTTTCATGACCCGCTCTGATTTAGAAGTGAGTTTATTTATTATAGCGACTACAGCTTGATTGTCTATATGGAGAATGATCTTTTTATTAGCGAGTTTGTTACCCCATAAATAGACGGCCAAGACCACCGGAACTAACTCTAAAAAGGTCATGTCTTTAAGTAGGTCATTGGACGCCCAGGTCTCTGGCCAAGGGTAAAAACACCATTCCCCTTTGAAATAAGCACCACATCCCAAGTAAGACGAACCGGAACTATCTGTGTAAAAATTAATGTTGTTGTCTGACGTCCACTCAATATCTAAAAAATACACAGTCCCATTAAATGATTCAAGAAAATTAATCCACATGTACAAGTCCTGACGCATTGATTGAGTTATCCTTATGTGATAATGTAATTCTGAAACTCCTATTGTAGCATTATAAAGCCGACGCAGAAATGCCCTACCTGGTCTTATGGCTCTTGTAAAGAAATTCAGTTTACCTAACACAGATTGTAATTGTTGGAGTGTCATCTTGCGTTGAACAACGAGATGGTGTAAAATACCCTGTAGCTCTAAGCATTTTGAATTGGGGATCTTAACTAGCATATGATAAGTATCTATCTCAAAACCTAAAAATGTCATAACCATAGTAGGGCCTTCAGATTTGTCCTCGGCAATAGGAACACCTATATCATCGCAGACGTCTTGAAAATTCGACATAAGATCTTGACAGGAATGGGCATCCCTCCCAGCAAATATAAAATCATCTAGATAATGATCCATTGTTGATGTTTTAGAACGCTGTATCGTAGCCCACTGCAAAATTGTAGAAAAATCCTCGAAAACCTTACACGAAATGGAGCACCCCATAGGTAAACATTTGTCTATGAAATAATTACCCTGAAATTTAAAACCCAGGAGATCAAAATCGCCGGGAAATATTGGAAGAAGTCGAAATGCGGATTTTATATCTCGCTTACCTATGAAAGCCCCCTTCCCTAATTTAGCAATCATCTGAATCACTGAATCAAAGGATGAATATTGTACAGCAGTTTCACAAGGATCTATGTATGAATTTACACTACTAAACTTCGGGAAAGAGAGGTGCGTTATTAGACGCCAGCCCAAATTATCCCCCTTCGGCACTAGCCCAATTGGAGATAACCTAAGATTAGAAATTGGTATTTTCGTGAAAGGACCCTGTATCCTCCCCATTTCAATTTCTTTATCGATTTTCTCTTTAAGTTCATTAGGATGATCGTCCGCGGATTTCAAATTATTACATTGAATTGGTAATCTAGGCCCATGATAATGAAGTTTAAACCCTTGAGAGAACCCTTGGATTAGGCGATTTGCTATGATTCTGTTAGGATAGTGGACGAGACATTTTTTAAGGGCGTGTACATTAATAGGCGTTGAACCTAGACGCCATAGATTGCGGGGTGCGGAATCTTGGTCTTGAGTAGGTGGGGCGCTGGGTGTTGCTGCTGGAATACCCCCTATAATTGGTATTTGCATTGGTTGAATACCCCTTATAGTTGGTATTTGCATTGGTGGTTTGTGGACGAAAACTTGACTGTCCATAGAATTGACCACTTGAATTTTGTTGGCGAAATATTTGTGCGGACCCAGTGTTTGAGGCTTGTGTAAGGCAATGTATCTGTGGATGGTTACTACCACATCGAATACAACTGTGTTTATACATGCATGGGAATTTGTCACAAGATCCCTTGTAATTGAAATTGAAGCATTTATCATTATTGGTTTTGGGTGCATTTGTTACGTTACAAGCGGGCCCAGAATGCATATACATCAACCATAATTCCGAGTCAATTTCACCCCAAGAAGACACAGGATTTTGCTCTTTGCGCAGCCTAAACTGCGTATCATATTCTTTCCAAGATATAGCCCCCCTGCTAACACCCATTCTTACGGTCTGTATGTACTTAAGTAGGTCAAGAGTCTTGGCGGGATGTGCACTCAAGTACACACTTGCAAATATGAGCATAAGGTCAGTCCATTGCTCAATATTTTCTACCTTTTTTGGGTTGGCATCTTTATAAATTATCTCACCCATACTATTCATAACTAATTTCTTTTCATCAGACCCTGATTTTGGTGTTACCAATGTGGCCAAAGCAATATACTGCCCACTAATAATACGTTGTTTGACTGTGCTAGAAACATTCATACCAATCATATGTATTGATGGGACAGGAGCAGGGGTGGTACCAACATCTGTTGGAGTTGAGATTGTTGCTCCAGAGGTGGTCGGTGCAAAGGATGGCCCTGCACTTGTCGTCAACATGGGTTGCGCTTCCGCCACAACGGAAGTTGATGGAGCCTGGGTCGGTGGTATTGGTACATGTACTGGACATCCTGCCGACGCCGTCGACGAGTACGTCTGGGAATTCACAGACACCGTAGCCTGACTACCACTTGGCTGCTGTGTGGCAGTCGCTGCTGGTTGAGCCATTCTACGCTTCTTAGCTCTCGGTGGCATCGTGTTCAGAAAAGAAAAGAAAATTCTTTATTTATATATATATATATATATTATTTTTTATATTTGTAAGAAGAAATTTAAATTAATTATCTCCTCATTCTCACATGCTTTATTATTTCTTTTTATAAAGTTAGCCTAATTATTTATTTATTTATTTATTTATTATTATTATTTTTTTATTATTATTATTATTTTTATTTTTATTTATTTATTTTATTTTATTTTTATTTATTTATTTTTTTTTTTATCTCCCCTTGGTATGGAAATCTGAAACGTGTCGGATCAATTTATAAAACAAAGAAAATTTAATTAAGCCAAAGCAATATGATATAAATCCTAACGATCAAGATAATTGACTTAATAATCATTATATCTTATCACATACTTACATCATATAATCTGTTTTAATGAAAACTTATATAGATACAACGTGGTCGGCTAATACAAAATGGCCACAACAGACGCTAGAAAAAATTATCATTATAAAATCAAGGATCATCGGGAAATCATGAAAAAATACTCCTAAATTGATTGCAGCAAACAACTACCAAATAGATAACAAAAACATCCATATGTATTATACCCATTAACTATTTTTCTAAATATCTAAATTTGCAAAAAATTATCCTTTAAAATTGCACCAACCTCATTCATATAGTCTGTGAATGAAAAAGGATTAACGGAAGTTGACTCAGGGGGAATAACTCTAATTGATTATAGGGATTATAGGCGGATCTATGGATTTTGTAATATGGGAAATTAACACTTTCTTCGATAAAAGCCTCCAATTCGAATAGAATTGGATGTGATAGTAGTTGAGTGTAACATTGAAAATTTTCACCCCTCGAAAACCATTGTCAACCTCGGCTGCGCCTCGGTTGACAATGGTTTTCTTGGGGTGAGAATTTTCAATGTTACACTCAACTACATGCAATATTTATATAGTACTACATGGAGCCTAATACATGTACTACAAGTGTCATCAAAAATTCTTGATTACTCAGCTCACAATCTGCATTGCTTATATTAATTTTGAGTGTGATAAGTTGCTTCTTTTTTGTATTAAAATTTTATTATTTTGTACTATACATCGTATCTTTTTGGTTTTTTTTTCAAATTTCTCTACTTCAATTTTTCTTAAATGTCAAGTTACCACAGAGTCTGACACATATGTTTCACTTTGGGATATTTTATGTAATGGTTATAAGCCGAAAACTGTCCATTATGTCAGATATTAGACTCTCCTCGGCGCTAACGCGCCTCGGGTCGTCTAATATCTGACATAATGGTCAGTTTTCGGCTTATAACTTACTTAAAACATTTCAGTAATGGTTATAAGCCGAAAACTGTCCATTATGTCAGATATTAGACGACCCGAGGCGCGTTAGCGCCGAGGAGAGTCTAATATCTGACATAATGGTCAGTTTTCGGCTTATAACTTACTTAAAACATTTCACCACTGTCGAACACTTCCATTGTTAACTTATCGGACAGACACAGGTAAGGGCTCGTTCTGCTTGGATGACTACCTGGCACTGTTCATCAAGTTAGGCCAAAGAAAACCAGTTTTGGTTTTTCTTCTGTCTTTATTAATAGTAGGAATCATCGAGGGGTGTTTTATATCGTTAAATATGAACATTAACTTTGTTTAGTCTTATTTATCCGCATTGCGACATTTTTTTATCTATTAAAAATCAGTTCTACTAAATTCTTTACAATTTATTCATATTACAACGCAACGGCCATGGATGACGACGTACATTTTAATTTTGAAAAAAAAGACCTTCAGAATCGGGTGTTTTGACGATGCCATTTATCGATTACACCAAGAACTCAGTTCAAGAAGCCTCAGTTCAAGTTTTTACTGTGAAATCCGGATATATATTCTTTTGTTTCGGATTTGCAAGAAACAGTTTCCCGTTAACAGGTTAACCATGTTAACAGGTAATTTTTGTAAAGCAATAGAATTTGTAAAGCAATAAGAATTTGAAGGATTTTACTCAAACAACTGTTTAAACATTTCTATTAAATTGGGAGATTATTTCTGATGTATTTCTTAAAAATGCAACACTTTCTCTTTTGTGTGCAGGTTTCGAATTCGGAAGAATTTTACTACAGCCACTCCTTAAAACAACGACAGATACTCGCTCAAACGACGCAAGACTAGGTGGACAAACGGTCATAAATCACCGGACGAGATTACAGATTCCGCTGGAATTTTGTGAGCTAAATTTTGTGCTAAATGCGGAAAAATGGATATTTCGATAAACAAAAAGTCCAAGGTTGTAAGAAAACACATGCTTCTCATTCATCCTTTGTGTCCATTGGATTCTATATATGTTCCGTGGATGAATCATTGTGAAATGAATCTATTATATTGCAATGAATTCGAACGGTGAATTTAGAAAATTTCTGATCGGAGCCATAAATGCATCTACAATAATGAATCTGAGACATTCAATTCACTGGATTATTTGTGCCATTTTCAATAGGATTTTTTGTGAAATATTGACATTTAACGCTACTAATTTCCTACATTGTTCATATTAAATTAGTTTTTTGATTTGTCATTGATTTTTAGTGTTGTTTACTTATTTGCCTCGCCCTTTGTTCTCATTTTAACGTTACCTGTACCTGTCCAATAAGTCGAATCTTATTGGACACCTACAGTAACTTATTGGACGGGGTGCAGGACAATAACAAGTTTATTGAACCAGGTTTAACAAAAGATGACGTCACAAAAATGTTTTAAGCAGCGATATATCTTCATTATCAGCATACGGGGATAATATCTCTGAGTTGATTCGATATGCTCGAGCATGCTCTACGTATGAACACTTTCTAAAAGGAGGTAAGCTAATGACAAACCAGCTGAAAAAACAAGAATATGTGCAGTCTCTTCTCAAGTCATCATTTTGTACGTTCTATGGTCGATACAATGACCCTGTCAGTACTCAGCAAATAAAATTTTTCATTAAGTCAAAGTTCTGACTGACGATTTTCATTCTATATCTGCCATAATTTACAAACTGAATTGACGACGGATTTTCCCATAATTTCCTGATCATGACAGTGAACACACAGCGGGATTGACCGCTCGGAAGGGGAGGCTCACTCCTCCATAACACTTGATCTCACCTCTGATATCTTATAGGTCCGTGTTTGCCCTGCTCGAGCCATGATTTGTATTGTGTAATAGTTTTTTGAGGTAAGACAATCGAAATTATGAAGGAGCTGTCACAAAAAGCTTACTGACCTCATATGCACTTTATTCCACCTTGGATTTTCAATACGTGTACTTATTTGATGTTTTTATCATAGATCAGTATTCCTTATGTGTTTTTTTGTTTTTGATTTCTTTTCTTTGAAATCGATTATGTTTGGTTATTTTTTTAAACATTCATCAGATTAAAGAAAACATACCGGTATCATGAAATCAGAGGGTAAGTATCATTTTATCAAATTTTGTTTTTCTTGATATATCTCAAAAAGAAAACTGAAGTATATTTCATATAGGACTATTAAGAGAAGTACTGACTTTTATAGTTGACGGTTTACTTGGTCATTTAAACTTTTATTATGTATGGAGATATATAATTGATAATACATAAGAAAACCTTTCTAGTCGTCGGAGTAATGGGGTAAGGGGCATTAACATGTGAAGGTCGGGAGTTGAGGGAAGGGTGGTTGTCGTTTTCTTCAAGGACAACTTATATATGCATTGAAAAAAAAAAACGTTCTTTCGTTGAATTTAATGTTGAGCTAAATATTTATATCGTAAAACAGCTTCAATACATTGTCCTAGGGTTAATGTAAGCCGTCAACTGTAAAAGTCAGCGTTCCTCGCAAAAGTTCAATAATGTTATTATAGGTGCAATAATTTTAAACAAAACAGTATAGTTTAACTTACGTCATTAAGGAAACAAGTTAAGCGTAATATCTATGGATGTTTATTTATCTGAAAATATTAAAAGACACAACTTAATACCACACAACCCCTAAATGAAATACGAGGGTTGTCCCAAAAAGTCGAAGACAGGTAAAACAGTTTTGTTTCTCTTTGCTTTATTAAATTTCTTTCCTTGTCATAGCAAAGAGTAACATTTTATGATCATGCACTTCAAGTTTCATGATGATATCACATCTTATAAGAAAATTATGAAAAAAAATAAAGAAAAAATATAAGTGTACACCGGCGCACGAAAGCAAGCGTAAATTACGTCTTCTATAACGTCATGATATCTTTGTCTGCTTCACTAGAGGGTATTAACATTCAATAATTTTTTTAAGTGATAGACCACTCTTGCTTAACGGACATATTTAAATTCACTACTGTCCGTTTGTTTCTATTTTAATTATTTTTTTTTAAAGCAGATTCAAGTTTCAGTCGAAATTTAATTGAACCTCATTAGAGAGGTTAAGCATTTGATCGTGTACGTCTACTTGTACGTGTAAACCCATCTTCCCAAGTCAAGAGTTTCTGATCCGCTCCGCTCCACATAAACCCTTGACCGAATAGGCTAAGTTTGACGGGGTTAGAAATGCGATCTCTGAATTGCCTCATGCAAGTTTTCATGAACCAATCAAAATCATTGTTTTATTTAAACTGAAACTATATCGTAAACAGAAAAACACGTCAGTTTTAGTCCCAAGGATAACGTATTTTTCATTAGATAGCCCTTTTAAAGGTTTTTCTCAGTTTTGTAGTTGAGTTATATTGAATTTATTACCGACTACCAATATTATCTCGAATTCGTTGTTGAATTCGTTTACTCTGATTGGCTAATAGCAGAGGTCAGGAGAGTTCAAAATATGTAATCTCACTAGATGGCGTGACAGTAAACCCCGTCAAACTTAGCCTATTCGGTCAAGGGTTTATGTGGAGCGGAGCGGATCAGAAACTCTTGACTTGGGAAGATGGTGTAAACCTAGAAGTGATTTTACACGTACGCGTAACTAATGTCGTGTTCTGTTTAACAAATTGACCGTGTACCGGTACGTGTAAAACGTCATTTCAGCAAGGCGCTTTACAATCCACTTGTA